ATTATTCTCTCTTTGTTCTTAGTCTTTTCTTATGAACTCATAATATGTTCTTAGTGTTCATACTTCCAAAAACACGATTAATCTTGAGATATCCTTCTTCCGCACTCACCGTTCGTTATAAAATTGGCTCTCAACAGGGGCCTCTAGAGCCATAAAAAGGGTCTTGAACCCGTTTTCATGCAAGACATGTCCATGTTCATGAAAGTAGATTGCTATAATTTGAATTTGGGTTCATTTGAGGTGTGCAAAGCCATCAAGTCTCCAACTTTAGAGAAATGGACCTTGGAAACAATCTAGATATGTATTTTGGAGCTATAGAAGTGTGAAACCAGCTATCTAGGTTAGATTTGCAAGGGACTCGACGAGTTCATAAGGAACTTTGCAAGTCCGATGAAGAAACCCCGATGATGTTCGTAGAACTCGGCGAGTCTGAATAAGACTCGACGAGTCAGTTCGACAAACGGCGATGACATGTAGCTTAAGGACTCGTCCAGTCAAGAGGTGACTCGGCGAGTCGAGTCGTAATTTCTAGGGTTTTGAATTCTAGGACTCGGCGAGTCACATGGCTGACTCGGCGAGTTTGGTGAACCTGAAAGGTTGACTTTGACCAGGATGTTGACTTTGACCAGGGATAAAATGGTCATTTTACCCTAAGAATAATATATGTTTTAACTAAGTGTCCTTATTAAATTATAGCTGGAGAGTCGCCGGAGCAGCAAACAGAGATTCCTCGCCCAGAGTTTCAGCAGTCAGTCGGACGAGGTGAGTTTCCTTCTAGTAGGAACAGGTCTACGGCCACAATGTCGTCCCGTATAGAGGATAGTAGTTCCGTACTTCGGTCCGATGCCGGGACGGTCCCGATAAGTAGTTATGTATGCTTCATGTCTTTGTGATTCTTGCATGTTTATGATACGTGTTGTAGATTCCGGACTCCGGTCCGATGTCGGGCAAGCCCGATGCAGTATATGTGATTATGTTATATGTTCATGTTTATGTTATCTTCAGTTTATTCCAGACTTCGGTCCGATACCGGGAGGGGCCCGATGCAATGAGCGGGGCCTAAGTTATTCCGGACTTCGGTTCGATGCCGAGCGGGGCCCGATGCAGTGGGCGAGGCCCAATTTATGCCGGACTTCAGTCCGATTCCGGGCGGGGCCCGATGTAGTGGGCAAGGCCCAATATGTGTTATATGTGTTATTGTATGGTATGTGGTAGTTTGAGGGAGCTCACTAAGCTTCATGCTTACAGTTTTCAGTTTTGGTTTCAGGTACTTCCAATAACAAATGGAAGGGCTCGGGTTGATCGCATGGCACACACCACAGTCACAGCCTGGGAATTTACTCTGATTATTTGTTATGAGATCTTGATTTGAGATAGACGCTATGATGTTTTACGATATATGAATTATTATTTTACTTATAACTTGAATGGTTTATGATTTTAATTATGAATCGAAAACAAAAATTTTTGGGTCATATTTTTGGGATGCTTCAAAAACATTACAAGGTTGTTTAAAACTAAGAAAATCACATAAAAAGGCCAAAAATGACAAGATAATCAAAAACTGAAGTTACTACGCATAAATCACGGTTTTGAAAAGATTTATTTGAATAAATATGGATCTTTATGGTATTTATGATTGTAGAAGGGCTAAAAGTGTAAACTTTCGCAAATGGGCCTCATAATGGGCTTCCACGGTTTTTGGGCTAAAATTGTAAATTTTAGGAGTTTTGTGGGCTTAAGTGTCAATTTAAACAAAGTTGAGCCAAAAATGTTATTTTTTGGTTATAAGGGCCGAAAATGAAAGTTTTATCAAACTTGGGCCAAAAAGGAATAAATTCTATGTTTTTGGGCCGAAAATGATCTTCTGACAAAAGTAGGGTTAAAAATGATATTTTACTCAAATCAAGTCCTTAAATGTAAACTTTTGGTTTTAAAGGAGCTAAAGTGTCATTTTTACCTAAATTGTGCTTAAATTGTAAATTTTCGGTTGTAAGGACCAACAACGGCTTTTTACAAAAGTGGGCCTTTTATGTTATTTTGGTGAACAATTAAGCTTAACCAAACCAACGTAACAACAAACGGCTTATTTACGTCATTTTCACTTTAATTGGGCCTAGAATATATATTACATGTTTATTGGGCCTCAGTGGTCCTCTTACATGTTTATTGGGCCTGGAATATAATCTACATGTTTAGTAGGCTTTAATTGTCCTTTTATATGTTTATTGGGTCTGGAATATAATTTACATGTTTAGTGGGCCTTAGTTGTCATTTTACATGTTTATTGGGCCTGAAATATAATCTACATGTTTAGTGGGCCTTAGTTGTCCTTTTACATGTTTATTGGGCCTGGAATATACTTTACATGTTTATTGGGCCTTAGTATTCCATTTACATGTTTGTTGGGCCTGGAATAACCACCTACATACTCGTCACATAAACTTAAAATACACACGGAAACACTACACTTTGTGCAAATTTCATATTCACATAAATTCAGTTAAGGATCTTGTGAGACACTTCGTTTGACACCTATTGAGTGTACAACTGTAGCCTGTAGATATAACCAGAGTCTCCTGGAGGGAGAGTGGGAGTTTGTGTATAGATCTATACGGGGGTGACACCCCACACCTGAGTTGTTCGCTACAGTTAGACTAGGCCATTCTAGGGTGACAAACCTTACCATAAACACGTCGACGTCCAAAAACGTCATGACAGGCGGATTAGTCATTATCAAGTATGGTTCTAACGACTTACTTAGAGGAATTAACACCATTATAAAAATTTACGGAATATCTTTATAGTTTGGTAACACATAAACTTATACTGATAAGACTTCAACGTTTTTATAGACAGGCAATATCGGATTGTCTGGGGTCATTCATTTTATACATTCTTAAGCATTAACACACATGCATTAATACAAGATCGGACACAAACATTTCAAATTGTTTTTCAGAAAATATCGGATTTTCTGGTGTTTACAAAGTTATACAAAACATTTTACTCAAACATGCTTATGAACTCACCAACATTATATGTGTTGAAGTTTTCAAATTAACTTGTATTCTATGGAAATCGTTAAGCAGAAAGGTCGACAGGAACATGTGGAACTTTCATATCTTGGACCATCATACTTTAACTATTCTGGCATGTAATATTTAATACAATACTTGATGTAAACAACGATGGTTGTATTTTGGTATGTATGATGATGGTGTTTGTCATGTTTCATTTATATTCACTGTGATGATATTACAACATGAAGTCAGCCAACCCCCAGACGCTTCCGCCGTCTGGTTCGGGGGCATGACATACTCGCCCTGATGTGGCTTTTTCTTTGAGCATGGTCAGTCGATATCAAGGAAACCTGAGTAAATCTCATTGGATAGCGGTCAATAACATTATTAAGTACCTACGAATGACTAAGGACTGGGTCCTTGTACTTGGTAGCAGTGATGACTTGAGAGTTACTGGTTATAGTGACGCCAATTTTCGGACAAACCGAGACAACTTCCGTTCTCAGTCTGGTTGGGTGTTTACACTCAATGGAGGAGCAGTAACTTGGAAAACTTCCAAGCAGGAGACCATGGCTGATTCAACATTTGAGTCAAAGTATATAGCCGCGAGCGAAGCGTCAAAGGAGGCTATATGGTTGAAGAAATTCATTGGAGATCTTGGTGTTGTACCAGCCATAAAGGAGCCCATGGAGATTTCTGCGATAATGAAGGAGCGGTTGTCTTGACCAAGCAACCAAGGGATCATGGAAGATCCAGACATATCGACAGAAAATATCACTTCATCAGACATCGGGTAGAAGAAGGACTGCTCGTCGTTAAGAAGGTATCATCAGAAGAGAATCCTACAGATCCCTGGACAAAGGGTCTACGTAGGATTAAGCACGTTCAACATACGAGGAGCATTGGTCTGAAGGATGATATTAGTTTTAGTGATTAAATAGATATTTTAGAAACTTGTAATAGATAAATGTAATTGACATTTGATGATTAAATAATGGATATTTATTTATGAGTATTGTTTACTATCTTTTGTCAATGGTTTATCATTGTGTTTTACTTTTGCATGTTTTACTTCCTGAATAATTGGATTATTCAAATATCCACAGTCGATCATACTTTGGAAGTAAGTAATGAATTAATATTGTCATGAATTGGCTTGTAGATTGTCTAAGTGTTTAGAAGTAGCAAATGTTTTCTAGACGTTCATGAGTACTCCTGAAATGGGGATTTGAGTATTGGATTAAACCTACGCTTATAGAAATTACTTCATGGAATTTATCCACTACTAGAAAACAGCCACGTGCAAACAATGACACTCGCTGATAGAGGACACGTATTTGTGAGTGCCCTAAAAAATAATGTCAGTTTTGCAAAATTTGAAGGATAGAGGACACGTATTTGTGTGCGCCCTAAAATTAGTGTCAGAAAAGAAAAAAAAAGAAATGCGGAGGGCGCCTTTCATAAAATCTGCGTCATGTAAATGTGTCGCTTTATAATTTTTAAGTGAAACACACGTTTTAGGTGGGAAATGAAATCGACGAAAATTACCCCCGCCTATTGCATCCCAAAAATTAATCCCCCCCCCTCTTTTACTTAGCAAGAAAAAGCCCTAAGGCCTTCATCTTCGACTTCAGCGGTGGGAATACCTAGGTTGATTCTTCAGGGTTCAACAATAGATTTGTAAACAACAAACGTATACGATTCTGGATCTCGGCATGATTATGGCGCTTTGGAGCCGGCGGCGTGAACATCATTCGTGATAAAAGTTCATACAAAACTCAAGAATTTCTATGGTTTCGATTATTGAGTGAGGTACAAGGACGTGTAATTGTTTTGGACTCTTTACTAATTGAGTTGAAATTGAACCCTAAAAACTCAATCCACACTTCGAACTTCTCTAATTCTCTCTTCTTCCGCTCCCCAATCTCCTTGGTGGCGCTCTTTCCATTTCTATTTCCAACCTCAAACCACGGCTAAATGGAACCCAACAATTCAATCAATCAAATCGACAATCACATCGACGATGATGGTGATCAGAACTCATTTCCAATCGATCCAACACAAGTAATCACACCAATCGATTCAACACAACTAAACCCTCTTTCCGAATCATCAGTTCTAGGGCTTGTTCTCCTTGCTCATACATTCTCATACGATATTCAAAACCTCACTGAGTCTCTCCTTCTCGAAATCCTCGCAAGATTGCCCCTGAAATCAATTTTTATGTTCAAATTTGTTTGCAAACACTGGCTAGACCTAATTTCTCAGCCTTCGTTTGCCCGTTTCTATTGCTCGCGTATGCTCACAGCCAGCGCATCGTCATCATCCTTACCTTTCAGAATTTTCTATAGGTATATTTATGTGTCGAAATTCACAAACGTTCTTGATCGATTCCGTCCCGAGACTTACCATTCCTCAAAATTCTCGGTCCTTTGCTCTTTCAAAAAAAGCAGGTATTTTTCTATGTTCTTGTGGTCTCTTTACTTTCTTCTTGTATTGATAATATTGAACATATGTTTTGAGAATAGAATATTAAACCCTAGATTCTGGGAAGTCGCAGATGCGGTAGATCAATCTTCAGATGGTCATTCTGGGTTCTAAGCCAGACTCATGGACTCGGGTTTAGGCTTTTACACATCCGTATACAAGATTGAAATTGCAAGATTGGGGTTTACACTTTGAAGTTGGTGGGCCTTTTGGCAGGGTGATGATGATGTCATGTTATGATTTTCATTATCCTCCACCTTTCCAGTAGCATCATCTTATTCCTATTTGTTCTGTTGCAGAAATGCTGTTATGGGAGTAGTGGGATTTGCTTTTGGATATCAGTTCACTTGTCTACAAGAGCCGTTTTTTTCCAAGATAGTATATTGCCATGTGTTATATATACATATAATAATTATTATTACATTTCAGGTCTAATACCACCAATAGCTCACATGCCACTTCATCTTTCTTTATCTATGTTTTGCCTTGACTTTCCTGTGCATTTTGTTACTGATTGTCCATGTTGTCAGGACCATGAAAGATTTGTTTTCCTCTTTTTTCTTTCCCCATTCCATTGTTTTCTTTAACAATTTATTTTTATATATGTGAACGAATCATAGGTGCTATAGATTTGGTTATTTAATCCTATATTTCTTGTCCTAGAATCACATAAATAAAATGAGGTACAGTTATAGTATATAGCAACATTTTCTAACTCTTGAGAAAGCTGTAAAATCAGCCTTTTGACTTCACTTATTTCATATATCTATAAGAATGTACAAAATTGTTAATTTTTTTTTATAAAATTTGAATTGTAATTTGTAAATACTTACAGATTGAGTGGAATGTGAGATCAGGCTCTTTAAGAAACATCGATTCTGCTCGAATATCGATTCCCGGCACTATAAAGTATGATGACCCACAGCAGTGGTAAGTTTTTAGGTTTTTTATTTTTTAAAAAATAATTTCTTTTTTCTTTTGTCATTCCTAATTTTTATACAACATATCTTGATTCTTGTAAATTATTTGTTGGAATTTAGCAACAAAAGTTAACATATTAGTAATTCAACTCCCTTGTAAATATTTTTTACAAATATATTAAATTCCTTTTGTGCAAATTGACTGATCTTGCTTTTGTATGTGCAACTATCGGCACAGAGCACGATTGGAGGAAACAGAACAATATTGGAGAGGATGGTAAAAAATAACTCTTTGATATTTGTAGTCATTGAAGGAATTTTTTTTATGTTTAACTTTCTATTGTTGTAAATAAAAAAATTCAGGTATGAAGGCCTCTCGGAAAAATTTCTGTAATCTCCTGTCCCAAAGCTGTTGCTGTTGGCTGGAACAGATAGACTTGACATGTTCTTTTTTTTTTCTTCCCATTCAGTGTTGTTTGGATAAATGATGTTTAAAATTTAATTAAGAATATGACAGCATCAGTGCCCTCACAATATAATATATAATAATTGTTAAATAAAAAGTCAATATTATTTCTTGGTGGAAGGGTAATATGGTAATTTTCTGTACCAGGGCTCTCACGATAGGACAAATGCAGGGAAAGTTTCAAATGGTGGTTGTCCGACATACTGGCCATGCAATACAGGTGAGAATTTAGTCTTTTCAAATAAACCTTTTCTTTATTATAAATTTAAACAGACAAACTTGGCCATCACCCTTGTCTCCTGATGTGATGGATTTTCTTAAAGAATATAATATGTATGATATTCTACTTGTAATTGTTTTGCTTATTAGGACATTATACTCTAAATTTTTTTACCTAATTAAGCAGTGAAGTCACTTTGTATTTGTAATACATTTGCTAAAACTGGGTAGATTTCTGAAAATAGAATGTTGTAATAAGATGAAAGGAAAGTAGGATGATGTATAATAGATGTTTGTGGGCCTTTCATGTTAATAACAAACTACCACAATATGGAAAACAATTAAGGATTGTTTAAGCATATCACTTGTTTATGGGCCTTCTTAGGATATGACCTAATATAAATACTCCTAAGTTTCTATCTGTTTCAATAGAATTTTGTATAAAATTGTCCATATACTTTGTGAGACTTAATTTTTTTTCTTACATTTCCTTTATCTGTAGGACAAGGAGGAATCTTCAAGGTCTCTTTCTATAAATGAGTAACCCCCATTGTAAGAGAGCTTGCATGGATGTCTGAATTCCAAATAGCTACATTTAGTAAGATGAGTAACCCCCATTGTGTATTTATTTAAATTTTCTTGAAGAATTAACATGGTTTATTAGTTGTTTCTGATACGAACATGTTTATTGGCTGTCTGAAAGGGAGGTGACGCCTGGATTTGGGAATGGATTTCAAGCTACTCAAAATACTAGCTGTACGACGTAAATTTTCAAAACAATTTTTCATTTTTAAAACATAATTTCATTCATAAGAATTATCAAAACCCCATTGTAACACATGTCATCCGAAAAAAACAATCCCAATATCTCAATACATAAAACTCCATCAGTGTGTACAAATCATGCCATCGCCTTCCCGCGATCCTCGCTGGTACCTGAAACACATATCACATAAACGGTAAGCATAAATGCTTAGTGAGTTCCCCAAAATACCATGCGCATACAACTAGCCACTCGAGGTTATAACTCTACTAGACCTTCCGGTCATTGTGTCTCAGGGGCCTTCCGGTCCCATTCTTGGAGGAGACCTTCCGGTCCTACTCCATCGACCTTCCGGTCCTACTCTGTCGACCTTCCGGGCCATACCATGTTGAACTTCCGGTCCATACCATGTTAACCTTCCGGTCCATACACTACCGACCTTCCAGTCCATACCATGTTGACCTTCCGGTCCATACACTGACGACCTTCCGGTCCACACCATGTTGACCTTTCGGTCCATATCACACTGACCTTCCGGTCCATACCATGCTACTCATAACATACATAACATATACATATCACATAGAAACATATATCACGTACTAGTCCTAGCACATAAGACCTTCCGGTCACACATTTCATAACTCATAAACATAAGACCTTCCGGTCACTCATAGTTACCATTCCATGTAAAGTATAGTGAGAAGACTCACCTCGTACGATGTCAGATAATCTCTCTTGCTCGATAACCCGATCTAGCCTCCTCCTATCAATATAATAACATCTCTAATCAATACTTACTCCCAAAATACCATGCACATACAACTAGCCACTCGATGCTATAACTCTACTAGACCTTCGGGTCATTGTGTCTCAGGGGCCTTCCGGTCCCATTCTTGGAGGAGACCTTCCGGTCCTACTCCATCGACCTTCCCGTCCTACTTTGTCGGCCTTCCGGTCCATACCATGTTGACCTTCCGGTCCATACACTACCGACCTTCCAGTCCATACCATGTTGACCTTCCGGTCCATACACTGACGACCTTCCGGTCCACACCATGTTGACCTTTCGGTCCATATCACACTAACCTTCCGGTCCATACCATGCTACTCATAACATACATAACATATACATATCACATAGAAACATATATCACGTACTAGTCCTAGCACATAAGACCTTCCGGTCACACATTTCATAACTCATAAACATAAGACCTTCCGGTCACTCATAGTAACCATTCCATGTAAAGTATAGTGAGAAGACTCACCTCGTACGATGTCAGATAATCTCTCTTGCTCGATAACCCGATCTAGCCTCCTCCTATCAATATAATAACATCTCTAATCAATACTTACTCCCAAAATACCATGCACATACAACTAGCCACTCGATGCTATAACTCTACTAGACCTTCGGGTCATTGTGTCTCAGGGGCCTTCCGGTCCCATTCTTGGAGGAGACCTTCCGGTCCTACTCCATCGACCTTCCCGTCCTACTTTGTCGACCTTCCGGTCCATACCATGTTGACCTTCTGGTCCATACACTGCTGACCTTCCGGTCCATACCATGTTGACCTTCCGGTCCATACACTGCCGACCTTCCGGTCCATACCATGTTGACCTTCCGGTCCATACACTGCCGACCTTCCGGTCCATACCATGTTGACCTCCTGGTCCATATCACACTGACCTTCCGGTCCATACCATGCTACTCATAACATACATAACATATACATAGAAACATAGAAACATATATATCACGTACTCGTCCTAGCACATAAGACCTTCCGGTCACACATTTCATAACTCATAAATATAAGACCTTCCGGTCACTCATAGTTACCATTCCATGTAAAGTATAGTGAGAAGACTCACCTCGTACGATGTCGGATAATCTCTCTTGCTCGATAACCCGATCTAGCCTCCTCCTATCAACATAATAACATCTCTAATCAATACTTACTCTTGTCCTTATTCCTAAAGAATGGGTAGAAGACCATTCTACCCCTCCCTGTCCTTTCTTGAATCAGCTTGACCAAAACCCTAAAGGTCAACCCCAGTCAACGGTCAAACTTTGACCAGACTCGTCGAGTGCACTCAGGTGACTTGGCGAGTCCATGCGTGTCTTCTGAATCCTTCCAGGACTCACTCGACTCGTCAAGTCAACCTCTCTCCGACGGGTTACCCATGAACACGAACCGTGGTGCAACACGATCCGACTCGTCGATTCCGCTCATGGACTCGGCGAGTTTCTTCCATGAGAATGCTCAAACGACCTTCTGAGGTCAGATCTGTTTCTCTAACCTATAGATCTGACCTTCCCATACACAATAATCACGTAAAGGTTCAACCTTTATACTTATGCAACCAACATAGGGCTTCTTTTGGTGAAATAGCTTCTAAAATGGCAACCTAGGTTCATATCTCTAATGGAGTAGCATAAAGCGGGGAGGTTAGGGCTCTCTGGACCTCTCAAGGCCCAGATCCAGAGTTTAACACTCAAAGGGACATCATAAGCATCATATCCAAGCCAATAAAGGATAGAGGAAACCCTAGATTCAAGGGTTCTACACCAAAACATAAGAAGGGTTCTATTTAATACCTCAAAGATGGAGTTTCCTTGCTTGAAACCACATAATAGCAACCCCCTTGACCTTCTTTTGTTGGAATCGCCTTCTTCTTTGCAAAAATCACACCAACAAGGATTAAAATAGCCCTTCTCCTCACACCACACGCTCAAGTTCACTAGGGTTTCTATCTCTGGACTGGTAGCCGCAAATGAGGGCCATAAGATTCCTTAAATAGGGCACAGGCCCGAGGATTTAGGGTTTTCACCCACAGCGCCTACTCGGCGAGTCTACTCTTGGAATCGTCGAGTAGTTCATTAAACTTACGTGGCCACCCCGCTTCTACTCAACAAGTTATAGCACCGACTCGTCGAGTAGATCAATTATTCTCAAAAATAAATAATTAAAATAATATACCTGGAAATCCAGGTGTTACAATTCTCCCCCACTTGAATTTGATTTCGCCCTCGAAATCGCTCCTCAACAACGAATAGATCTAATCCAATAACCGAGCAGTACCATTGAAAGGATCTCATATCCCACTGCTATCTTCCTTTCTGGACACCTGAATCCAAACAGGAACTCCTCCTGGAAGGACAGACCCATTTGCCACTACGCTACCCCTTCCGACTCTCAAGAATCTGGAAACTTTAGTAGCCTGACCCACCGCCATACCGCTCTCTCAGAATATCACCACGTTATTCGCTCCTCGAATAATAAACCTCGGTAGCTTACTGCACCCCTGATTCTCGGGTGAGGACCAACAAAACAAGTCCATGCCCATAACTGGCTACCGATCACTCGTCCCAGACATGATAACAATCCAGATCATATACCAAGGAATGAAAAGATCACACTACACCAGGGACTCATCCACTATACTGCAATCATAACCCTTATGAACAACGAACCCTCAACACCTTGACCTCAGACATAAAAAATGATCATGCTTGTTCAGAAGCGTCCTCCGACATCTGACCAACATACCTCAGTCTCCTTCTCATGGCCCTTTTCAACACTGAGTACCAGGTCTGCTCTCAACCCAACAGTTGAACTTCCAAAGGTTACCCATTACATGTACCAAAACGTCTTACTGACTTCCTTATAAATACAACTATCTCGGCCCAGTGTGACACACAAGTCACGAAGTTCGCTTTACCTCAAGCGGATACAGAGTTCGTCTCACCCCGACCTCTGTCGTCTACTACTCATTAGTTCCATTCGTTTTGTGGTTTTTCCCATAACAACGAATTGACCAACTCAGGTCTAAGACATCATATGACAATCAATACCATTCAGCATGGAACTCATCTCTGAATCTGAAATCTCGTCTCGCCTACCCGACGCACTACTAGAGCCAAACTCAAACTCGAGAGTTTGATCTGTCCCAGAGTTGAAACCACTCGGCACATGACTCATGACCCGCAACTCATGCGTTCCTCACTGATCCACTTCCCTTTGGTCACGACAACCACTACTTAATTCAGAATATAATGAATCCCGACAAATATGGAGACCCTAGTCTCGCCCCTGGTTCGACCACTAGTCTTTCACAACTCAAATGTTAGGGCTAATCAAGCCTGAAACTCTTCTGCGGCATGCTCTGATCAGAGAGTACTTCATTACAACATTCCCTCGCTGACTAGTGAGTAGTATGGCTTCCCACATCATCACACCCTCTCACTGAATAGTGAGTACTACGGCTCCCCACAGCATCACAACAACCTTTCACTGAATAGTGAATACTACGGCTTCCCGCAGTATCACAACAACCTTCCACTGAATAGTGAATACTACGGCTTCCCGCAGCATCACAACAACCTTTCGCTGAATAGTGAATACTATGGCTTCCCGCAGCATCACAACAACCTCTCACTGAATAATGAGTACTACGGCTTCCCGCAACCTTACTGCCCTTGCTCTTACCACTTCACAATCTCATCCACAGGTCGACGCCACACTGCGATATTAACTCATGCCCTGCGGACCAACCATAGGTGTACACGTTTACGCAAATTATGCATTGCTATTCCTGACGACAGCCGCCATAACATAACACCTTTCCCTGCTGCAATCCACATTCGCGAAGAATCCCGCTTGATGTCAATTAGCTTAAAGGGTTCTCACTGGAACCGTAGACACCTGATACCCCACTTGTCATCCCATAACTCAAGTCTCACAATAAACCGAGATTGTGGATTGCACTAGAAT